TGGGGAGAGGGAGGTCTGGGCCTCTCTGCTTAGGCTGCTGCCCCCGCGACCCGGCCTCGGATAAAGCGGATGAAGATGGATGGATGGATGGATGGACAAGAACAACTGCAGTCTTAAAACTTGAATGAATCATACATTTACACAACTGTTAATAAAAAGTGAAGTCTTTTAAAAAAGGTTTTACACTCTTAAAATTTGATTAATGTAAATTTTTTAATGCATTTAGTCAGTCTACTGTCATTACACACATTATCACTAAAAGAGCACAGCAGTGCCACAAAGGCACAAAAACCTCACACGTGTAATAGTTTGGAAAAAAAAAAGAAAACAAAAAAGCGTTTTAACAACTTTATGTTTCCAACAAATTGTTGCCATCATCACACTGTGAAAGACAGTTAATTTTACAACAGGAGCCATATGTTTGACAACCATTCTCTAAACCTTTTTTGTCCTCACAACTGCATTGTTATACTGGGCCCACAAAAATAATGAAATAAATAATTCCTCAGAACATGGAAATGTTCCTGGATGCATGCCACTGCACTTATTTTCAACAGACAACAAAATATGCAGTTCCAGAAAAGGTGAACCCATGTGAACTTGACAGGGTAAGCTAAGCAATCTAAGAAAACTTGATCTACAATCAAGAGGCAGTTTCATGATTGGAGATATGTATAGGATTTATCACAAAGTGCAAACGCCTGGTTACACTCAAGAAGGACAGTTTGACCTTTGTCAGAAAACATCTAAATGAGTGCACAGTTTGGACAAAAAATATTTGTACAGAAGAAAAACAGCTTAACTTGTAGCAGAATGGCAGGAGAAGCAAAGCACAGAGACAGAGGGAAACAACTCATGATCTGCAGCATACCACATTAACCTTCATATCATCTGGTGAACTTATGGCATGGGCATTTATGGCAGTGGATCTGTGTTTCTATTGATAATGTGAATGTGATTTTTGAAGGGATATCAGATATCATCCATCCATCCATCCATCCATCCATCCATCCATCCATCCATCCATCCATCCATCCATCCATCTTCATCCTCTGTTACTTCTCTGGATCTAAGCACAGATACCCAGACCCTCCCCCTAGCCACCATCTACACCTCTTCACGAGGGAGACACATAATCGCTCCAGTGTATAGTATATAGATAGTCCAGGCATCCTGGTCTGATATCTGAACCACATCAACTGGCTCTTTCAAATGTGGAGGTACAGCAGCTCTGAGCCCCTCACAATTAACCAAAATCTTTGTCCTCTCTCTAACCTCTCTCACCTTCACTACAGAGTCCTCTCCCCACTCTCCTGCCTCCCTCGCTTTCCCCCCTTCCTGACACCATGACACCCCCCTCCTCCAATCCCTCTCTCAGCAGCAAGACATCTCCCCCCCTCCCCTCCTCCCAAACATCTCCCAGTGTCACAGTGGATCAGGTCAGGAGACAACTGAGGAAGCTTCGCCCCAGAAAGGCAGCAGGCCCAGACAAGGTGTGTCCTAGGATGCTAAAGGCGTGTGCTGCTGAACTTGGGGAGCCGCTACA